AATAGATCCCTTGTAATATTCATACAACCATTCTTGATAATTAACATTCAATATAATACAATGGTAGATCTTTCATAATACTCACACAACCATTCGTGATAATTTCATTCAATATAATACAACAGTAAATCCTCGTAATACTTATACAACCATTCATCATAATTACATTCAATATAATACAATGGTAGATTCTTCATAATACTCATACAACCATTCGTCACAATTATATTTAATAAAAACATTGTCGATGTTAACTCAAAAATCAATAGTCAAAAACTTTATCACTGCCAATTTAAAAATCAACAACCAAAAACTGTATTGCTGTCGATTCAAAAATCAGTAATGATGGTGGAGTCATTTTGGCTTTACTTTTTTATTTATTTTTTGGTGTTTACATTCTCCCCTCCTAATATAATTTTTTTCCTCAAAATTAAAAGGACTCTCATTAATAGTACCTCAAATTGTTAGAGAAAATACCACCGTAACCAACCCCAAGTCGTTTTTCGAGTAATTCTCTACCTGAGTCTTTAATGGTCTTAACACATAAGTGCTCACTTGAATAGTGTTGTTTTGGCTAGTTCCTGTATATTAGGGTTTCCTGTTGATTTGGGGTCTGTTAAGGTTCAAAGTAGTCCTTTATCTTCTGATTTATTTCTATTTTATTTGTAATTTCTTTTTTTTTCAAATTTCATGCAATTCTGTCCCTATCAACTTCATTTCTCACCCTTAAATTCAAGATTTTTTAACGAGTTGGTCCTTGGTTTCTAAATTATCCAATTACCCCCTGAATGACTACTAAACTTCCAATTTTTTGATTTAACCTCTAATTTCTCACTGATTTTAGTCCTTAAGTTGCATGCATTTTACAAGTTGATTCTTGGCTCATGGAAAGTTCAATTAAGCCTCTATTTTATCATCAAACTTTGATTTTATGTAATTAAATCTCAGATTTGACTAAATTAATTTTTTTAAAATTTTTGAATTGAGTCTTTAAAACCAAAAGAAGATATTTCTACAATTTTATTTTTTAAATAGGGGTAGCAACGGTCTCTATATATTGAATCATTTGCCTCCTGCGTCACTTTCCAAAAAAAAAAAAACTAGTAGGAAATTCTTAATTTTGACAAGGTTCTTTCTTGTAATTGAGTAAATACTATATATATATATATATATATATATATGCATTTTGATTGTTTTTGCTGTTATAGTTTAAAAATATAAATTTAAAATAAATTTTATAAAAGAATTTTTAATATAATTTATATAAAAAAATGATATATTGATTAACCAACTACTGTTATTATTGAAATACAAAGCAATAGCTCATTACACAAATAAATAAAATCCAAGTGGTGTTTATAACTTATAACTGAAGTTGCCTTTTCATTTATTGTGCCCCTTTCAAATGAATTTGTCATTTTGTGAAATGTTCAAGTCGAAACTTTGAAAGAAGTGCGAGGGCAACCAATCCCTGCCTTCTTTTATACTTTGAAAGAAGTTCAATGAAACAGGATTGACCTTGCCCTGTTCTCAAGGGCACTTGACCAAGTCTGACTTCGCAGAATTCTTTACGTACTGTTTTATTACACAGAAAAGCAACAATTAACAATTCAACTGGCTTAGTTCTATAGGGATTGATATATTCCATGGAGGAATGAGGTAGTCTCTCATTGTCCGCAAGAAAATTGAAGCAAAATCAACCTCCTATAAAATATTAAGGAACATTAAGTTTTTTAATCAAACTGACAGCTTGCGTCCACCTCTGTTCCGTTCCTCTTGCGTTGAGGCAAGACATGTGAATTTGTCACCGTCCAAAAATAAGACGTCACGAAAAGTAGGTCACACTTGAGTACAGATGTAATGATCACATGAATACTTGCGTTTTTTGGATCTAGGTAGAGTCCTATAAATGTTTGCGAAAAATGATTGCCTTCAACAAAAGAGTGACAAACAGCTCTGATTACACATGGATAAATATAGAGCTGCACCTAAAATTCAAAATCATGGCAAAAGCAAGCACTCAATAGCCTTTATCTAGAATTATGTTACTTCCTTCAACACTTCATCAATATGTTTAGAAAGGGAAAATCTCGAGATAAATTAGAAAAGCAAAAGAGCAAGAGAGTGAGTATATCACTCTTACAAGTATATTGAACTTCCTGAAAGGGAAAACGGAGTATGCAAGACCTTTTTTTTTCCATGTCAAAAGTATATAACCATCAGAATACATGACTGAGGAGCTAATAAACCTGCTTAGGATAAATTATTCCCTATTTCTTCTATTGCATTTCCCTCCCTACAAACATCCCATAAAACCCGCTGTACAACAAACAACGCACAAGGAAAAACCCAGAGAAAATTGAAACCAAAAAAGAAGACATGGGAGAAACGAAAATCTTGAGTGTCCACTGAAAACTAGTCACAGCAAATGGGGCAGCGTATTAGTCCATTCTCATTGCAATCAGGGCAACGCTGAAACCCATATTCACCAGTCTCTTCTCCTTCCAACTCTTTCTGCTCTTCGTCATCACCTTCATAATATATCTTACAACTCCCTGAACATGTCTTACAAGGCACAAACCTGATATCCCCACAAGCTTCACAAGCCTCTCCAACTCCACCTCCACCACCATCACCCAACATTTCACATCCTTCAACCAGTTTCTCTAATTGTCCTTCCTCGTGCATTCGCCGAATTTCCTCTACTCCACCAACGTATTTTCTCCCAATAAACACTCTTGGTAACCCTTCCCCACTAAACCCTTCTCCCATTAGCTCTCTCAACTCCTCCTTGAACCCTGAATCCATTGATACATCTCGTTCATCAACGCGAACTCCTAAGCTTTCTAATATCAACCTCACAAGGCAACAAGCCTCGTATGTTTTGCGCACCCCTCGCAAGCTTGTAAAATAAACAACTAACCTATCCTTACTGCGCTCACAATCTTTTGCAACAAAATTTACCTTTAGAACATCATTCACAAGCAATGACGTATCATCATTTGCAAAATGAGGCCGTTCCTCGCTATCTATTGGCTTAATGTAAAATGAATGTGTAGGAGAGAGCTCTTCCAATGATTTTTTAAACGTAGAGATGACTTCAGAATCGAATTCCGGACACTTGGAATTAGCATCCTCATCTGCAACTTGAAGCCACCCAGGCGTGTTATTATCAGGAGACAATGTGCCATTCGGCTGCAAGTTCATTTTGGGACTATCAGGTATTCGTCTTGGATCACGAGAAACATCGAAAGAGAAACTGCGAAACTGCTGAGACAAATGAGGAGTCATCATATCTTCAAGCCCTGCCATCAATTCCCAAGTATTGATAGTTTCTGGCTCTCCAGGTGATGTCATAATTGGAGTCCTTGGAACAACTTTTGGGATTTTTTCTTGGATCATACTAGACCAAGTCTTGGCCTCAATTAGTCCCATCGAAAACTCCTCCTTGCCATTCAATTCTTTACGAACCTTCACAAACCCATTTGATCCATCAAAATCACCAACATTCTTCCTTCGATCATCGCCTTTCACAGCAACATCAACAGTCCCATTCTGATTCTGATTCGCAGAATCAAGCGCGAGTGTACCTAATGTGGTGGAGGTGAGTGCCACCACGTGGTAGCTATCGCCTTTTTGTTGTGGTGGATGAACAACATGCATTGAATAGCTTCGAGGCACCGGTGAATACGGTGTCTGGCAATGCTTGCATCGCTTTTGTTTAGAACTTGCGCAACCCATTCCTTCTTTTCACAATTCAAATCAATTGAATTTCAAAAGAAGCAAAAGTCAAAAAAAAAAAAAATGACAAGTGAACTAGTAAAACAAACACCCCCCTGTCTGGAGGATGAGTTGAATATGAAGGTCTATTTGGTAGAGATTCTGGTGATAAAATAAAAAAAAAATTAAAAGAAAAGAAAAGGATGATTATATAGAGATTAAACGATTAAGAAATTGCAGTTGAAGAGAGAATCAGAAAGGAAGCTTCTTTTCAGTTTTTAGTTTGTGAAAGAGGAGAAGAAGAATAGTAATAGTAATAATAGATCATCACCTGCATTTATCTATGTCATAAATAAGGAAAAACTGCAAAAGAAAAGCTTCATCAAAACACGTTAAACAACATGAAAAACATCAAGAAACTTCCTAGATTGGGGTTTATTAATTGATGATTAAGAAAACAAACCCAGGTTTAATCAAAGAAAGACTTGTAAGGATGGAAATTAAGGTATGATCCCCTTAATAAAACCAAAAGTTTGGAACGTTGAAGGAATGATAGAGATTGGAAAAGGAATTTAATTATGTTACGGAGAAAGAAGGTAGATTTAACAGGGGAAGGAGATCTTTTTTTGGATTTAGAGATCTAGGGGTTTCCAAAAATGAATGAAATGATTGGATAGAAAAAAAGAATGGGAAATCATGGATGGAACTATGGAAAGGAAAGGAAGAACGAAAGAAGAAATTTGAATTCTTCAAAGTCAAAATAGAAAGGCTCATAGCTTTATTCTTTTCAACAATTTTTCTCTTTCTAGAATTTAAAAGGGTACGGTATGATAGGAAAGTGAAGGAGTTGGTTTTGAAGGTTTCTAGTTTTTGTTTGTTTGTTGTGTAGGAGAGCAAGGGGAAGAGGGAGAGTGTGAAATGAGGAAATTTGGGATTGTACTAAGAAAGAAATCGCCAAACGCGGGAATTATTGCTTGAATGTCTCTCGTCACCCCACAAAATATACAGAGTGAAAGAAGCTTGTGTTGACATCATAAAATTTTGCGGATGTTTTCTGCTGAGGAGAAAGATAGAAAATGGAATGGAAGCCTCTTTGTAAAGGTTGTTGAGGCCAATGCCAGTTTCTCATTGGATCGTGTGATAATGAAGGGGCAAATGTGATTGTGCGGCTACCTGCCAGTAAGATAGCTAGGGATTTTTCATTTTGGCTTTGCAATATTCTGCTATGGGTGATCAAGGTGTGGTTGGCATTGTATTTTGAAAAATTTTGATTTTTTGATATTTTTATTTACTTTAAATTAATATTTTTTTGATATTTTTATATTATTTTAATGTATTAATATCAAAAAATTATTATTTTAATATATTTTAAAATAATAAAAAACTTTAAATATGTTATATTTTGATTTATGCTTGAAGCAATTACAATTTATTAAATGGAAAAACCATTATGCCAACACAGTTTTTGTAGCCTAGATTATTAAAGGTTCTTTTAAAAGAAGAATGAAAGAAAAAAGAGTTATTTCTAATATTAAAGAAATCTTTCCTTTTTTTTTTTCTTTATCAGCAATGAGATTACAATGAAGGTGAGATTTGAACTAAAGAGATCTAGCAAGCGAAACTAAAGTAGATATGCAAAGCGAAAAAATAGCACGTCAAATTAGAGACCGAGAGCCAACAATAAACACTAAAAGGCTATTGACAGTATCAAAATATTAATGTTTTTTTTCAAATATAGGAGTATCGAAGTAATAAATAATCTAATAAGAACAAGGTCAAACCATAGAGAGGTTAACTATATAAATTATAAACAACAACAACAATAACAATAATAAGAAAAAGAAGAAGAAGAAGAAGTTAAAGAGGATTTTAAAATTGTAAGATTAATGTGAGGACTAAACAATGATAAAAACAAATGTCAAGGTTAAAGGATCCATTAATGATATTTCAAACAAGTATAGTATAAACTCTTTTTATTACTCAATTGAAAACTACACATAAAAAAGTTTTAATCGGTTTATAAATTGTTAATATGATTATATTAGTTATCTTATTCGAATAATGCTAATACTTGTAAATGTTGTCAGGTATTCATGATTATAAATTATGTTAATAACAAATCAAGTTCCTTTCATAACCCAAGTGTAAGTTATACCATATGGTTGGGCTATGAAAGTACCAAGATTTGTTATACCAAGTATTATAAAATACAAATTTAGATAAACCATTTAACAGACAAAGTATTAAAAGTGAACAAAATAACAAATACAAAACATGTTAGTATCAAGCATTAAAGTCCATGTTAAGTTTATACTATACTTATTCTTACACCATTAGTGTAACATTTTTACCTTGACATAATAAACATAATTAAATATAATGAAAGGGGGAAACATAAATAAACAAAATAAGAACATAAATAACATATAAATTAATTACAGGAAAGGAAATGAAAAGTATAAATAAGAGATTAATGAAAGCAAAACTTAAGTATTACAAAAATATAAATATATAGAGGAATAACATAATCTTGATCTGAAAACTAAGATAACTAAATGCATGGAAAATGCCTCTTTTTATAAGCAAAAATTTGGAACTATTGATTTGTTGACTAGTTGTTGAGTGGGTGGCCACATCTTAACTTAGTGGCAATCCTTATCTTCTTGTCTAAACAAAATATCATTGCTAATATCAGAATTTGAACAAATTATCCTCATGAAAGTACTAAGAAATTGTCTCAACTTTCTAAAAAAAATAAGGTTATTTGGATTTCTAGAACTCGAGATATGGGCAAAACACTGAACAGTGTCTGGGTTATAGAAAAAATTCCAACTTCTTCATTGTTACTACAATTTGAACTTCAAAACAGCCTTTTTGAATCTTGTATTCCCGTGAAAGTTCTAGGCCTATGTATTAGCTTTCCATCAATATAGAGCAAACCTAAATCCAAATTCTACAACTCTAGATATAACCTAATGGTTGAACAATGTTTCAATTTGGACTGAACAAGCATCTCTTTTCTAAGCTTAGCCTTCTCTTTGTCTTCTTAATTTTAGTAGTTAAACTCATCAATCAATCCTTTTATTTATGTGATAGGCCTGCATTTAAGATGAACATTTATAATAAATTAAAAGTATCTTATATTATTAGACATGTTATTATAACACGTGCTCTAGTTAAGGACTTATTAATACTTTAAATACAAAATAAAAATATAAAACATTGATAAAAATACACTTTTAAGTACTAGTCAACTATAAAAGTACTAATCAACTATAAAAATGTGAAAACAGGGTAAAATAATCTAATTTCATTAGAATATCTTGCCTAAGATTTGATTAATATTGTAAAAATGATAATAAAAACTAATTAACAAAAAATCTACACAAGCATGCCTCTAACAAACTATAGTTATCCTACTAGATAGATGATTTATATTACGCTATGAGTCATATTAAATTTTTTCTGGCATAAAAAAATTATGCTCAGAAGATTATTAATTTAGGATCTAGGTCATTGATTCAAATAGGTTTAAGTTAATTTCATAACGTGATTATATATAAAAAAAACCAACTACAATAATAAACAAAAAAAAAGACAATGACTAATTGAAAAAATAAATGTCTGTCAATATTATAAAAAATAGCCTTTAAATATTCTTAAACTGTCTCAATGATCTTATTTTATAACAAAGCAAAAATTGAATAAAAATGTGATAAAATTGTAAAGAGAAAGAAAAAATATGAAGCTTAATTACCAGTGAATTAAACACTAAATTTTTTTTGAAAAAAATTAATTTTAAAAAGAACAAAAAAAATCCTAACTTTAGTCAGCAAAATTCCCTATCATCCAAAATTAAAAAAACAAAATAAATAATAAAAAAATATATACCAAATCTAGTATAAAAAACTAATTAGGTAGCCTGCATTATGTTGTGGGTCAACTTTTTTTCATAAAAATATCACAAAAATTTTAGACCCAAAAGTATTGGGTCTATCTGCAAAGAGAAATCCAAAAGCATAGAGCTTGACATTGCAGCTTGACCTAAGGTTTTTGAACTTGTAATTGCAGTATAACCCAACACTTTTGCACCTAGTGTTCTAGCCACAACTAACAACAATATTTATAATATTAATAATAATATATAACTTGTATGGCTCAAGCTCATATATTTTTTAATTTCTTTAAAAAAAATTATGATTTTTTTATAGTAATAATATTTAAATTTTTTTTATTAATAATGATGATAACGATGATGATTTTTAATTCTACTCTTTAAATTAAATTTATGGTTGTTAAAATATTAATAATATATTTTTAAAATTTATTAATTATTATATTAATATTTTTAATTATAATAAAAATAATAATATTTATAATACAAATAATAATATTTTTAAGATTAATATTATTATTAAACTTGTCTGACTTAAATTTAAGTGGGTTTGGTTGTAACACCAGGTCCAAGAGCTTTGTGCCTGACACGACTAAAAGATTGATGTCTTCTCTCAAGTGGAGGAGCGTCGAAGTAATAAATAACCTGGCAAGACTAGGGTCGAATCATAGGGAGGTTAATTGTACAAATTATAAACGACAATTATAAACAACAACAATAGTAATTACAACAACAACAATACTAGTAGTAGTAGTAGTAGTAGTAGTAGTAATAAAAAAAGAGATGGAGAAGAAGAAAAAGAAGATGAGAACTTTGAGATGAAATATCAATGTAAGGATTAAACAATGATAATAACAAATGTCAAGATTACAGGATCCACTAATGGTATGTCAAACAAGTATAGTATAAACTCTTATTATTTAATTGGAAACCACACACAAAGGAG